TAGCACTGTTCCCCCAAACCTACTCCTTTTGCTGCATGTAATGTGGGTGCCGATGGGCATACGATGGATCATTCATAATGTCCAACTCCTTTCCATCAAAAGCCAGGGTGGTGATGGAGCAATCCAGGAACAGCTGTCCCATTTGATTTGGCTGAATAGATTACCTGCCCAAGTCCTCTAGTTCAGAAATAACTTCTCTGGATTCCTAGTTGTCTCCAAGATCTCGAGCAGAGACTTTTGATCAGTTCTGCTCTTGAGACCTTTGCTTTAATCCAAGATGTGAAGCTGGGATTTTGTATTTAAAGTCTGCACTCAGTTCTAGGGTTCCCATCCTCCAGATTCTACCTGCTGCCCCTTGATCACTTTGTGAAATGAATTCCTAGGTTTGTATGCTTAAAGTTTTGAACAGTCTAGCTCGTTTTCCCTTTCTCTCATCTTTGTTGTCGCCAGAGATTGGCTGGGCATCTTGAATAGATATGACGCTACGGCTTTGCTGAAGGGGGGCAGCAGACCACAACCAGTTTTGCTGCATTGTGTCTTGAGTATCTGTGGGGGGTCCTTCCATTTCTTTTAAGTTTCTTAAATTTTTAATCAGCATCAGCATTTGGCTGGCATGGTTCTGAAAGCAAGGGGCTATGATTCATACAGTATTTAGATCCAGTACTACCTGCTGTTTTTACCCCATGTATTACTTATTTAAGGCTAATCTTTCATGAACTTTGACCTTAGGGTACATGGACAATCCTTTTGGCCGTGTGACCTGCCTTTGGTGCTAGGCCAAGAGCCTTGCGTACATTCCCTGTGGCCTGTGCATTACGGCTAGGGGAATAACCTTGGTGTCCTTTAGAAGATTATAATCAGGAACTCAGAAATGGTGATGCATTTTGCACCCTTGCTCCAGAGCAGAGCTTTTGCTGCTTAGAAGAGTCTATGAAGCAGGACATTTGAATGTTGGTCCTGCGATAGAGGGAACATCTTACAAGATGAGCGCGATGCTGGGCATTTCATCCAACATTTCAAGGGAGTGGGTCAGTCCCCTTTCCCAGAAGGTTGCTAGCATATCTTATTACCAGAGCCGCTGATCCAAAGCTCACTTGTAGGACCAAGGTTGCTCATTCCTCCGATCAACCATTGGGAGTCCTCCTTGTTTTATCTGAAGATAGAGTCTTCGGTTTGGAACCTCCGCCTTTTCTGTAAACATTCCAGTGACAATGTCAAGACTGGTGGAAATGCCTTTTTTATTAATTCATGGCTGTTTTTGATCTGCCCGGTGACCCCTTGTGTGCAAGCAGGCTTGGTTCCAACTGTGGAGTGAAAATGTTGGCTGCTAATGTGTCTGAAATGCAGCCCCTGATGCAGTCCTGCATCTTTCTTAAACCTTGCAAAGCCATCTCTCTGCAAAACCGTTCCTCGGTGTTGTTTTTTTTAAGTCCTTTCTACCTTTTTCTCATAGTTCTCCCATTTCTACTGCTGCATCTGGATATTTTTAGCCTGTCTGTTTCTCCCCATTCTCTCCTTCCCACTCCCCAAATTTGTTTTTCCATCTGAGACCAGACTGGCATTTTCTCAACTTGCTCATTTTTCGCTCCATCCCTCTCCTGTGTAGTCTGCCTTACCATCTCTCCATCTGTTTCCTCTTCCAGGGGCTCATTCACACCACCTTGTTTACTTGCTTGTTCAATCTTGTGGGGTTCTTCACTCTGTCTTTCAGCGCATGAGGTATAAAGGCCAGGAGACAGAAGGACAAGGGTGTTTGCTTGCATCATAAGCATGGAAGGACAGTAGAAGAATTAGCAAGAAGGAAGGTGTATAATTCCCCCCAGACACACACATTTTAGTTTTGATTTAGTTCCAGTTCAGATTTAGAAACACTATTGTGTGGGAAATCTTTGAGTGGATGCCTTGTTGGAAATTTGTGCAGTGGGCTTTTTTTTTTTAATGGTGGAGCATAAATGGCTTGATGGTGGAACCTTAAGATGTTACCTCCAACCAAAGCTAAGGTGAATCTCAGCCCAGGTATGAATTAACCCATTTTCCGTGTTTCCATAATGTATTGAACCATAAACTAACTAAAAAAGACTGAGTTTGCACAAAACACTTTCCAAACAACCTAATCAAGGATAGCCCTAACCAAGCTGAGCTGTGAATGCAGCTATTAAGTTTGTAACTGATCTGGTTGCCATCATGGGTGAACCCAGCCTATGAATGGCAGCGGTGAGTCTTGCGTTGATAGCAAAATATATTCCCTCTGTGCTCACCCCTACATGCTTTCTCCTTGTAAAATTTCCACCACTTTTGCCCTAGTCTTTCTTACATATTGCAAGACAAATACCTACTTCCTTTCTCACCACAGAGTTGCGTCAGAAAGACCAGTTGAGAACTGGCTGTCTTGGGGGGCATTGACATGGATTGAATAGAGGAAGAGGACCCCCGCAGCTGTGGATTCCTCTGGCTAGCTCGATCAACCTGATAAGATTGATGGGAGGCTTAAAATACAGCTCAGAACTTCTTAGAATAAGAGCCAAATGCAGGTGGGAAGGGTATGTGAAGGTGTTCCTTGACCTCAACTCTTTTGTCATTGCAATACTAGGGGAAAATCCCCTGTCTTTTGCTCTACCAACTGTGAGCTAGTCTCATCTCCTTGCAGGTCATAGTTCTGCTTAGACCTCATGGATCACACTCGCCTGCTTTCCCTCGTACGCACAAGCAATTCAGAAAGAACAATGGCCCTGAATTATAAGTACGCAGGTCATTGTGCTTCTCCTTGGCTGTTGTAGAACCTTGCCTGATCTCTCTTCTCTCTGGAATTGCAGAGCGAGTTCTTGTCTAAACCAGCACTTGGTAAAAGCTCCACACCCAGGAGATTGTGTGGCCTGGAGGAATCCATCACCATGATGAGGATGTATCCTGGGTGACAGTGTAGGGGCGTGTTTATGGATAAAGTGTTAGATGGAGCTGCAAGGCTTTTTCAGGGGGGGTGGTCAAAGAAAGCTAGGGAGGAACTGAAATGTGCTTGGAAACACAGAGGTCTTTTGAATGGACACAGAGGTCTACCTTGTGTTGTTGGAAGTCAGGCAGCATACAAGTTTAATAGATGATGGTGATGGTGATGAGGATGATGTAAATTGTAGGATCATCTCCTTTGGCCTCTAGATTTAAAACCGGATGTGTTTTCGATAATGTATTTGGCAGGAAATATTCCCTTCACCCAGTCTAAAAACTTGTCATCCTTAATTTCATAATCTTGAGCTGTCATGTTTAACTTAATGCCTGTGGAAGATGGGGAAGCAACAGTCACCCAAATGTGTCCATGTAGCCAGCTCTTCTATGGAATCCTTAACTCATTCCCATTTACATTTCTGAATATTCCCTGTGGACGATTTGCTGGCTGGTGGGTTCACACCCCTTCTGCTAAGTCATAATAGGGTTGGTTTGGTTTGGGGGGTAGAATGGTGCACAAATGCAGTTATTCTGGCTTGCAGGCCACTGTTGCATACACTTGTTGGGTGTAAACCTAGTCAGTTGGGTTTGTTCCAAACAAAGTGTACGTTAGCAAAATAGGTGAACCCACTCCCGGTGTTGTTAGCTGTTCGAATATGATCCAGTATGATCTGGAGGTAACTAAATGGAGCTCAGATCAGGAGTTTTGAGCTGCTTGGGAAGTTGGCGTTATTGATCAAAGATGTCACTCCCCACCCCCCTCTTTGTCTTCATTGGCATTCTATCAAAGGGCAGTTTGAGCCAAATGTGCAGTGGGGTAAACCTAGAACTGAGAGTCAGTTTGGGGTAGTGGTTAAAGGCAGTGGGCTAGAAACTGGGAGGCCGTGAGTTCTAGTCCGGCCTTAGGCATGGAAGCCAGCTGGGTGACTTTGGACCAGTCCCTTTCTCAGAAGTCGAGGGCAAACCACTTCCGAAAAACGTTGCCAAGAAATATGGAAGGACTTGTCCATGTTGTCGCTGGAAGTCAGGATTGAAGTCACAATTGACCTGAAGACACTAAACCAAACCAAAAATCTCTAGAGTCCCTTTAGGATACTGAGAAGAACATTGCCCCCGTTCCCACCCCGACCCCGATGTAGCTCCAATCAGCGTGGTCAGTTTGTAGGTGGGTGGGAGCGGTAGTTGAACCACATCAGGTGGTCCATACGTGCCCACCTCTGCTTTGGCTCAGCCTACAGTGAACCTCTCTGGCTTCAGTCGTCATGTCAGTCTTGAATTATCATAGGAGAACTGCATCCCATATTTTTAAAGGAAGACCAAGATTTTTTTCCCCCCAATAATGACTGGAGGGAAAGAACAGGAATGTCTACCTACCTCTCCTTTTTTTCTCCTCCTCTTCCTCCTTGTAGATTTAAGCAGGTTATCGTAGGGCAGAGGAAGAAGAGATGGTGTTTCTTCCCCCTCGCATCCCCCGGCACTCCCCAGCTGCAACTCTGCTTTGAGCCATCTGCCGCTAATACAGTTGGCAACCCTCTATTTTTTTCCCCAGGACCGAATTTACCTTGAACGAAACCATGTCAACGTGTGGTGTAGAAGATGATATTCCTCAGGGAGAGAGGAAAACGGTCACAGACTTCTGTTACCTGCTGGATAAATCTAAACAGCTTTTCAATGGCTTAAGGTCAGTGCATCTTCAGTGACTTAAGGTCAGTAAATCTGGTTCACCCACATTACACCCCTGTTGCGCGAGCTGCATTGGCTCCCACTTTCCTTCTGGGGGCAATCCAAGGTGCTGGGTATTACCTTCAAAGCCCCGTATGGCACAGGACCAGGTTATTTTCAGAACCGCCTCTCCCTAAGGACATCTGCCTGTCCTACCATCTTAGTCTCCTCAGTCTCTTCCCTTAAACATTATCATCTTATGGGATCTAGGAAGCGTGCCTTTTCCATGGCAGCTCCTGTCCTATGGAACACCCTTTCCCCTGAAGTTCGGCATCCCCCCCTCCTGCCCTTTTAAGCTTCTGAAAAGCACTCGAGATCTACTTTTCCCCCCATGTGCTAGAATAGGGTGACATTGATGAGATGAACTTGTTGTGGGCTGCATGGGAAAGTTTAGCTACAGGGCCAGGTTGTATGGTTTTTAATATTTGTGGTTTTAAAATACATGTATGTATGTATGTATGTATGTATATGTATATATATTGTGAATAGATGTTATTTGATCTCTGGGTTGCGAGCTGCCAGAGTTTGGTACCAGATGGGCGGCTGTATAAATGGTTTAAATAAATAAAATCTTAGGTACTCAATAAATAAACTAGCAGGACTGGGGGAATCTCAGCTTTCCTAGACAGGTAGAGGATAGAATAACCACTCAAACATTCTGTCCCTGGGCAGCCCAGATGTTGAGGTGAATCAATGTCTCCTTCTTTAGTCCTTCCGCACCCCTTTCATTGCCAAATCTCCTCTTCCCTTGTATATATCCAAGGGTTGGCAAAGTCTGACAGTTTTTTCCCCCTTTTTTTAACTCGTTCAGGGTGTGTGATATTCCTAACTTTTTGTCTGGATTAAGGCAAAAGATTCCCCCGTTTCTGCAAGGTAGACAAGTGAGTCGTTCTACCATTTCTAGCTATGCCGGTAATTTGATCACAGCTGGAAGGACCTACATTTACAGATGTGTCAGAGTTTGGCTCTTGCACTGAGAAAGTGGGGTGGAGGGGGGGGCTAGGAACATTTCCGACGTTGCTCTGCAGGTTTCAATACTGTAAGAAAGGGCTTCTGGGAGTGGGGGTCCTTCTGGATTCTAAAGCAATGGGAAGCCAAGCCCCTTCCCCAGCCACGTGTTAGCACTTGAGCTTGCCAGGTTGACGGAGGGTGGAATCACCACCGCCTGGATGATGGCCTTCCTGCAGCTGCAGAGGGGCCCTTGAATGGTCTCAGCTTCTAGGAATGCCTCTGAAGGGGGAGATGTTAGGATCCTCCTCTGACAGACACAGCTCTTAAAAAAACAAAACCAAACTGGGGGAGCTGATTGCAAACAAGCCTACCGCTGTACAGGTCTAGCCTGATTTCTTTCTTGTCTTGGCGGGATTCCTAATCCTGGAAAAACCCAAGGAGCTGACACGTAGATTCCCATTGGAGACAGCCATCAGAGTTTGATGGTTGAGGACTAGCATTTGGGGTCATTCTTATGCCATGCTTCTTTCTGTCTACCTAGTTTTCTTTGTAGGTAAGCACAGTGTAGACCAGTGTTTCTCAACGTTGACAACTTTAAGAATTCTGGGAGATGAAGTCCACCCATCTTAAAGTTGCCAAGGTTGAGAAACACTGCTGTAGACTTTCCTAGTTCTTTATTACAGGATAGGGGTTCCCCCCCACAACATGATCCATATATGTTCATACCTTCCTCTGGGCTTCAGAATTCCCTCCTTGTTCTTTGAGGCAGGGAGTGAAAGAGCAATTTCATAATCTCGGCTACTAGAGATTGCTAGAGATGAGTGCCAGGGCCATAACTCTTTCGTACCTTTTGGCATGCAGAAAATTCCAGGTTCAACTCATGGGATCTCTCATCTGAAATTTGGAGTAATGCTACCAGTTCTGGAGAGAGACTTTGACTAATTATATGACAGATTTCTCTATTTCTACCAGGTCTGTGGGCTAGATAGAGACTTGGATTAATTATATATCAGATTACTTTATTTCTATTGAATACCTGATGTGCAGTGAGATGAGTACATTGACATATTTGTGTGGAGCTGAATACTTATCAGAAGAGGTATTTGAGGGCATGCATTACATAAAAATTAAACTCTTCTAGTGAGTTTGTAGGGTGGGACCCATGGCACAAGCAGATATCAGAAGTCTGCCTTATGACTTTATTAGTGGGTGCAAAGGATGACTCCTTCTGCACCCACTAATGCAAGAGTCCTCCTCTTCTCCCTGGTGGGTAACCTGAGGTCTTTCAATCTGCTTTCTTAACAGAGATTTGCCCCAATATGGGCAGAAACAGTGGCAATCTTACTTCGGTAGGACCTTTGACGTTTACACCAAGCTCTGGAAGTTCCAGCAGCAGCATCGGTAAGAGAACAGTTTCAGGTACATGGCTGTGCGTCATGGCAGCCTGAACCCTCTCAATTACTCTACTAGACAACAGGATTCTCAGTGGGGAGGAAATATGAGCATTAAAGGGGCAGAAAACTGAAGTACGTTCGTTGGGTAAGTCTGTTGCTTTGGATGAGGGAGATCCTCGCTCAGTTGGGAGTCTGACTAAGCTGCCTTTCCTAGCTCATTTAGGCAGCAAATGGGGGCCTCAGAGTATTAACGAAACAACATCCAAAGGGCTAGTACAGCAGTTGTGTGTTGAACAAGAGTCTGACCTGCAGTTTCCTCTTTTGGGTTGGGGGACAAAAATGAAGACAAGTTCTGGACAATCGGTACGGCCTGAAGCGCTGGCAGATTGGAGAAATCGCTTCCAAGATCGGGCAGCTTTATTACCACTACTAGTAAGTGACTGTAATGGGTGGAAGGAAAGGTTGGGGTGGAAGAGCAAGGCTGAGATGGGAAATGCAGGAATTCATGCTTCCCAAATGTTATGGGTTCTGCAAGTGCGCTCAAGGGTAGTGTTGGCATCTTAAAAGACAGAACTGTCTTGCAGGGGCCACCAAGTAGAACTTTCATGACATTCACGACTTCAGCATTGTTTCTGAAGTCTTTCCATAGTCCACGTGGTCATCTAATTGATGTTGTACAACGTCAGGCCAACCCAAACATCTCAAAATAGACAGCAGTGGATTTTTGGGTTCTCCGCTCCATCACATTGGGTGCTCAGTTGTGGGGTGGGGTTGGCTAATTTTGGAACTGTAGTATCTGCATTTAGGCAGACTCGGTATGGGACATGAGAGAAGACTGTTAAACGATTAAGTCAAGTTCTGCTAAGATGGAGTCAGGAGCTCGCAAGTCCCAGCAAATTGCATGGTTTCCTGTACAGAAACTGTCCCCTGGTAGTTCCCATTTTCTCCATGCAAGAAAAAATGAGAAGGACTACTAGGAATGACTGTAGCCACTATGTTTCATCTTGCGCTGCAGTCAGGATTGCTGTGAAGAAGATATATACATTCAGCACAGAATAATTGAATCCCCTATCCTGCAGCATGCTTTTAAAAATGTAAAATCAAGAGGTTACCCATTACTTGTTGAAGGTTCATGATAAAGAGGAGTAAAATACTATTCTGTGTCCTTTCTACAGTGGGTTTGAGCTCCCTGGTCAGCTAGAGAGATTAAAAAAGAAAGACTACACTGATAGAGTATCTTTGGAATGGTCCTCCGTGATCTGATGTTTCCCATAAGCGCTAAGCTTCCCAGAACTTGCCATCTGGGCTGGAAATTCCAAGGGTTGCAATCCAACTCATCAGGGGAATGCCCAGTTGGAAAACTGCTGTGGCTGTTCTGATGCTACCTTGAAAGCCACCTTGCCTGGCAGGTTCTATCAATGCTGTGGTGTGCATGTAGGTGTTTCTTAGTCCCTTTACCTCTCTGTTGGACGCCTGGGTGCCTGATGAGAATTGCAAAGAACAATGGTGGGAATCTCAGTGAGGATTGCGCTGGAAAAGAGATCTCTCATTTTCCTCCCCAAATGGGAGCTGAAGCAGAGAGCTGATCTCACCCTCTTTCCCCCACAGCCTTCGCACATCTGAAACAAGCTATCTGAATGAAGCCTTCTCCTTCTACTCTGCAATTCGGCAGAGGTCTTACTACTCCCAAGTCAACAAAGAAGACAGGTCAGGCCATGCTTCAGTCTTGTGAGTTTTCTGACAATTCAAAAGCAAGAAATGGTGCGTTGTCATTGGGCGGCTTGTGGAGGTGGGGCGGGGGAAAGGATTCTGTGACAAGCTCTTGTTTAAAAGAGGATAGGCTTTTGAAGATCTATCAACAGCTGAGGTTGGATCTCTGAAATATACCAGAATTGGCTTCTTCTTGCAACAGGGTTTTGCTTTGCCTTCTCTCTGGAGACTATGATCAGAGAGGCCTTTGGAGAACAATGCAAACCTTAAGATGACATGGTGTCACTCAGAGTTCCTCCAAAAGAACCATCTTAAGATGTGGGGACTCATGTTTTTCTCTCAGCTAAATTGTTCCTCTCCCATTTGCCTACCTCTTGTCACAGGCCTGAGCTCGTAGTTAAGAAGTTGCGTTACTATGCCCGGTTCATAGTGGTTTGCCTGTTACTCAACAAAATGGCCGTGGTCAAGGATCTTGTAAAGGTAAACCCCTCACGTCCTCTCGATACCCTAAAGGTTGTAGCTGATTGTCTTAGAGCACCTTTACAAGAAATGTCTGGTTCTTTTCCCAGGAACTATCAGATGAGATAGAAGATTATACCCACCGCTTCAACACAGAAGATCAGGTGGAGTGGAATCTTGTTCTACAAGAAGTGGCAGCTTTCATTGAGGTAAGGACTAAAGAAATCCCTGTGCTGCTTTTTTACAAAAACTACTGTTCATCCAGATCCCAAATAGACTGTTTTTCCTCAGATAATTCTGATCTGTTGGGTAAGAAAAGAAACTGAAGGTTCTTCTTCTGAACATGTTTCTCAAGAATGGTTCTCATCTTGGGGCAAAGGGAAACCTGGATTGGGCTGGGTGATCTTACAAAATGGCCTGTGAAGGGTTCCTCCCATTTGGATGAAGGATCTATGAAATTTGTAACAAGGCTGGGAAGGCAGACACTCCACCAGGATGTTCAAAGACACATTGGCCGTGCTAATTTCTACTTCTTTACTGCATGTTCATTTCCTAAATTTTATCTGGGCTTGGATGATTCAACCCTAGGGTCCTTCAAACTCTCAACTGGCTCTTTTTCTTTCTAGGCAGACCCCGTGATGGTCCTGAACGATGACAACACTCTTGTGATCCTCTCCAACCGCCTCTCCGAAACGGGAGCCCCACTGCTGGAGCAAGGAATGATTGTGGGGCAGTTGACACTCGCAGATGCCCTCATTATTGGCAACTGCAACAATCAGGTGGGATCCCCTGCACCTGTGTATTTCATCACACATCACAACAACCGAATGGTGTTGGCTGGAAGCAAAGCTTCCTCTAGATCAGCATTCTCCAAGACTGACCCAGTAGGAGCTAGTAGAGCAACGGAAAACGAGTATCTTCTCTTTTAAGGAGGAAGATCTTGTAAAACAGCTGCCACTTTTGTTTTCACCACACGTCTACCCAACAACAATTTATCAAAGTTGTGGTAGACAGAGATGGGCTGACTTGGAAAAGGCAATTAGGGAAAAATGCATCTGCCCTTAGCTCTATTTATTAGCACTTCTTAAAAGGACTTTTAGAATATCTCCGTGTGCTACATTCTCTTCCTTTTTCATGTATTTTGTGGGGAGGTCAGAAAATGTATTTTGTTCTTTAGATGGTGCCTGATGTTTTAGATGGTGCCGGTTCTTCTGTTGCCTTCTGCTGCTGTTCCTCACACACGCTAATTGTCCACATTTTGTGGGAAAGCAGTACCCAAGTTGCAAAGTATTTTTCAGGATACTAGCATTAACAGGTTTGGCTGATCTCCCTGGCTTAAAGTGTCCCCGGTTCTTTGGTAGGTGAAGTTCAGTGAGCTGACAATCGACATGTTCCGAATGCTGCAGGCTCTGGAGAGGGAGCCGATGAACCTAGCGACGCAGATGAACAAGCCAGGGTTGCAGGCAAGTCTCTTGTGTAGTATTGTCATGCTTCGTTTTTCTTGGAATTGGGATCAGTGGTTGCAGGCACTTTAGAATTCGCATTCTAAGACTTCTATTTACCCATGTATTATCATCACCTCTTCGTCAGATTTATATATCCTGCATTTCTTCCAGGAGTGCGCAAGGCTACTCCAGGTGGGCGTTTCCAGGAGAAAGTGTAGCCGGCCCAGAATTACACAGAGCTTTTCAGTGACTTAGGGCAAACTTGAATCTAGGTCTTCTGAATCCTAGTCCCCACCATGTTGCTGACTAGAGCCATTGTATTTTGCCCTTTTGAGGCTAATACATTAAAAATAAGAGCAGGATTCCCAAGACGGGCTTAACCTCTTCTTTTTAAGAAGAATGCCCTCCCAATCAGCTGGCAGAAAGCCCTAGAGGTGGAAAAAATCCAGTTGTGTCCATGTATGCTTCTTGATTTGGCCCATCTCGAGCATCTTCTCAGTTCGGTGCACGGTTCTCCTAAAAATATCACGAGCAGCTATGGAAAGTTTGCCCACCTGCTCAAAGTGATGAGGTGTTTGGTTTGGTTGGAGCTCAGTGGGTTTCATGATCTCGCTGTTGTGGTTCGTAAATCGCGGCATCTGTCTTGGAGCAGTGTGTGAACCCCGCAAGGAAACCACGGTTCCATATGAAACACCAGCCAGATCAAAGAAGGCAGAGCTTTTGTCTTTGAAAAAACAGTTAGAGCTTCTTTAAGGAGGTATATTTCTCTCTTACGCAGGAGACCACAGAAAAACCAGCCAGAAGAGAAAACCCTCACAAGTACTTGTTGTACAAACCAACCTTCAGCCAGCTCTATACCTTCCTAGCGGCATCATTTAAGGTTTGTGCAAGAGAGGTGAGGCTGGGCTTGTTCTTCCCTATCTCTACTGGAAGCAATAATAGACTCAGTGAGGTCAAGAGACCCTCCAGGTAAGGTGAAGGTGACCCTGGACAGGCAACAGACAGATACTGAGTTAGGGTTTCACCTTGTTTTACAGAAGGAAGTTGTTTGTCCTTGGAAGAGTTTGTTTAGGGGTTGACGTAGTTTGCTCTCCCAGAGCTTTGCCTGTTTGAGTTTTCAAGAAACCTTGAGTAATCTGTGATAGCAGCTCTTTAAAAATATCTCTCTTCCGAAATATATCTTCCTGACTTCCCTCCTCTCATTCCTCCTCTGGTTCCTCTTTCAGGAGCTGCCTGCAAACAGCGTCCTGTTGATCTACTTGTCAGCCACGGGCGTCTTTCCTTCAGGTCGTTCGGATAGTGAAGGTACAAATAAAGGAATGCTCCCTGTCATGAACAGGGCTTGAATTCTCTTTATGTTTCACAGACGGCGAGGCAGCCTCCACAATCTCCCCCCTGCTCCCAGGAGAAACCTATGCTTTCCTCCACTGGCGTGTCAAGTTAGGCCAAGAATGGGTCTTCAACTCTGTACTTTTCAGAGACCAGAAGAATTTGACCCAGTTCTGGTCCTTCCCGGTTTAGGCACAGTCCCTTTTGTGTGGTGAAAGCATGGGCCTGTGCACTTTTGACCCTACTGCTGGTGGGCCGTGTCAGTCAGGGACATGTCCATCTGTTCTTGCTCTGGAGAAGAAGGGATGAAGAAGCAGCTTATATGCCCCGGGGCTCTCTATGGAGAACGTCCGGTAGGATGTGATGAAGACAGAGATGTTCCTATTGACTATCATGGATAATTCCACCTAGCCTGTCAGAAATTCTGAAGTTTTTCTGGTTTACCTGGCCTGCCTTTTTGAAAACCCAGTTCAGATGCAAAACCAGACCTTGGTAACTTTCCAACGTGGTCTGGGGGTGACCTGGTGAGTGTTTCCTTGTTTGTCATGACAATTCAAGCCCTCCTCATGACTTCAGTAGTTTCCCTCCTCCGATCCCCACTTCTGTGTCCTTCCTTGTCCAACTTGGGAAGAGGAGGTTCAGGTGCAATTTGCCAGCTGTTGCTCAGCCCTCCCTCCCAAAGCCCTCCCCCCTTTTGAAATTTGCTGCTGAATACTTGGAGAAAACAAAGTAAAACAAATTGGGATCTCATGGAATTAGGTTTGCCTTCAACCAAGGGATTCCTTTACATTGACATTATCCTCGCCTCACTCCATCCATTTAAGATTTGCATTCCTTTATAAAATGCATGCTTGTTACATCTTCCTTGCATGAATCATAAACTTTTCCAGATTCTTTCACCCACTCCTCCCAACAAAACCCTGTAAAAAAAGTTTAAAAGTTGTGGGGTTCCCCCCTGCCCCCACAAATAGCTTTTGTTACAGGATTTTAGGAGTGTGCTTTGGGGCTGGGTCCATTCTCTTTTCAGGAGCATATGTGCTTTTGTCTATGTTTTGTGAGCTCTTATCTCTGATATTCAGTAGACCAGCCATCCATCTCTAACTTTTGGAAAGCCTTTGAGATGTCCAGCAATTCTTCTGGCTCTTAAGCAGAATGAGGACTGTTGGACTGATCTAGGTCATCCAAAAACTTTGGGCGCAGTTTCTCAGCTCTTTAGTGCAAGTATTAGAGAAGCTTCCACTCACCTCAATCTCTGCCAGACTGGGGTCTAGATTGCATGTCACACCAAGCCTTGGTCTGTAAGAAAACCAAATGAATCACGTCATGGCTTGATGTAGTGAAGGAGCACATCCAACACAATTGATGCTAAGAAGATCCATCTGATTGGCATCCAGAGTTGAACCTGGATTTATTGACAATAAAGAGCTGTGGTTTTGATTCTCAATTAAAAGTGTGTCTTGATTATTATGTACCTTCAAGTCAATGTTGACTCTTTGCAATCACATAGACTTCTCTGGGATCACATGTCCCCAATCTGGCCCTTCAGGTCTTCCAATGGAAAAGGATGCATACAGTCCAATATCTAATGCTGATTTATAGGACTGTGTTTCACACCTAACTTGGTTGGGTGTTAACAAATTATCCATTGGTGAGGGCATGAATAGGGATCAGCAGGTGCCTTGCTTTCTACCTTGGCTGAATATATGCTCTGTGAATACTTAGTTGGCAAGAAGCCCTCTGGAATTTGGTGAGACTGGAATTCTAAATATACCCACACTGGTTTGGGCTGAAGGTGTGGGAACCTTTGACTGGCCAAAAATCATAAACTGGATAGGGCTACATCATGCATGCAGATGGGGTAGGGCTTGGAAAGGGGAATTTGAGGGAGTGGGGTTTTTTTTTAACTGTGGCTTGTCTAGTTTAGGGTTTATGCCATCGGAAACCATGCTATTTGCTCTCCTATACCACCTGATTATAAGAATCAGGAGCTAAGTCTAAATCAGCTTAAACTTGGCATGGTGTTGTGAAAGAGGGTCCTGTTCTCCTGAGTTGACCTTACTTGGTGCTGTAAACCATACGATGTGGCTGATGCCCCAGGTAAACCCACGAGGTTTTGCTACCAAAGGCGAAGGTATTCTTCCTTTCCATTCCATTCATTAAAGCATCTTAAATCGACCCAAACACAAAAGAGTCGCTGGAGAGACCAGGGCAGGGAGTGTGATGCACACTTCCCCACCTCCCAGCCTCTCACCATCACCCTTTCACTTTGCCTAACAGTAGAGCCAGCCTCACGATTGCTGAGAACCAGATGAACAAATAATTTGTCCCCCTTTGGGGGGATTTTTTGAAGCCTTCCAAAGCCCCCCTCCCCTCTCTCAGGCTCTCAGTGGTGGCCTTTCTGGTGTTGGCTAGCATTAATTACAATTCTGAAATTATGACTTGCCCATGGGATGAAAGAAGGATTCTTGTTCTGTGGGGTATCAATAGCGGGGTGTGTCCAAGATTGTATGGATCCTTGCTGTATGAACTAAACATGGTTCTCTGGAAAGCCATCTTTTTGCAATACTGGGAGAAACCAGTGACAGCCATGCAGGCTTACATCCAACCTGTCCTTGTGACAAAATGTTAATCAATCCACCAAAGAACTGTATCAGTGTTTCTCAAACTTGGCAACTTTAAGATGGGTGGACTTCAACTCCCAGAATTCTGGGAGTTGAAGTCCAC